GGGGTGACGCAGAATGTTTCCTCGGCGTTCGGTGCAAACGACTTCGTCCAATTTACCTCTCAGCTCGACAAAGCGAGCGTGTGCTCCCAAAACTACAGCAGTATATATGTGCTACCAAAAGCAGTACAGTAGTGGTATAACAAACAAACACCTCGGCGCTGTCGTTCTCCCCCTGAATGAGGGCCCACTCGAACGTCATCCGCCTCCCGGACACGTCCACGTACTCCCGGCACGCGTCCATCAGCTCGGACAGGGGGAAGCGCCGGTTAACGGGGAGAAGGGCGCCGCGCTCGCGGTCGTTCGCGGCGTGCAGGCTCACGGCTAGCTTGACCTATGGAAGCGGTCGTCGGGCACCGGGGGGAAGAGGGGCGGCGACAGCGGGAGGCGCGGGTGAACAACAACCGACGGAAATCTCAACGAACGCAAGAAAAATATTTGTAACTCACACATTCCACAGACGTTTCAAATACAACGGAAACAGTTGTAACACGCACACATTCCAGCGATGTTTCTAACGAATGGTACGTGAAAATACGCGCACGACGTGGAATCGTTTCTCACCCTTTCGGTCCCGCGGGTCAGCCAACCCCAGATTACAACACCGGATGCGTGCTTCAGTCACTCAGGGGAGACGTAGGGATGGTGGTGCGGATGGACAGAGACACGGTAGGATAGGCGCAGAGGGCGTCTGCGGCAACAACTCAGCAACAACTCAGCAACAACAACAACAACAACAACAACAACAACAACAACAACAACAACAACAACAACAACAACAACAACAACAACAACAACAACAACGGCATCGACAACGACGATAACAAGCACCAAAAACGTCATCAACAACAACGACAACAACAACAACAACAACAACAAGCAACAAGCAATAACGACAACAGTAGAGCCAAGCGAAGAGGACGGCACCTGGATGTTCTCCTGGGAGAGGCGGAGGATGCGGGGTACCAACCCCACCGTGCTGATGGTGATGTGCCTCGCGCCGATGCCCAGCTCGGTGTTGATGCGCCTCACGGCTTCCATCACGTTCTTGTAGTTGGCCAGGGGCTCGCCCATCCCCATGAACACCTTGGTCGATGGAGAGGAAAGAGCAGCGTTCGCGACATCAACGGTTCGATGTATCTATCGGGTCGAGTGGTTTGTTCTCGGATACGCGCGTCGGCCTTGTGATCGACTGCTCGGTTCATGCACTTGAGATGAGGTGGTATTTGTGGAGACCTCCTTCAAAAAGGTAGGTGGAATCTCAGTGCCCCCCAGCGCGATGGTTTCCTCTTTTCACAGCGGAAATGTTCATATTTTTATTCTGTTTGCGCGGATTCTTCTTCTTCGTCTTCATGGCTGATGCCGTACGTACAACCTCGCAGACCCCCCCCCCCCCCCCCCCC